TTTCTATTAGAGGGAACTTTCTCGGAAATAGTAAATTTTAAAGGGTATGGTTTTAGTTACCCCGAACATGATATCGGTTTAATAGCTGTGATTTAATCGGTTAAAGCCGAATATAATTTCGGTTAATGAGAACCAGGTTTAGCCGGTTTTAGGCGGTTTAGGAGGAACCCTAGGGGAGCCGAATATGATTAGGGTTTTATCTAGGGTTTTAACGGTTTGGAAAACATATTTTGGATGTGATTTCGAGATCTATAGGATCTGTGGTCGATGGTTTTAATAATTTCACAAGGACAACAAAGAAATCACGTGAAAAGGACTAGGGTTTAAGCATTATGACTTACGATTTTGAAGATTACAAAATCGTGAATCAAGCTTAGGATTTAGGGTTGATTTTCTTAGTTTATTCAATCAAGTGTTTCAAGCAAGAGAATCAACAATCAAATAAGCTGCAACAAGCTTATTAAACATGAAGAAAATCGAATAGGTTTATGCCATAAACATGGCCAAAAACGGTTGTTAGGTTTTTGTAGATTAGGGTTTTATAAAACGAGTTTAAAACCTTTGAACATGCATAAACTTGTAATTTAAACAATCAATCAACAAGTTATCAATCAATCATCAGAGTATCAAACACTTTCAATCAGTTAGAGATCGATTTTTTTTTTTTTTTGTTTTTTTTTTTTTATAGGGTTTTGAAGTGTTTAAACAACAGGTTCTATGGCTCTCAGTTTTAGAAGATACCTTTTCCACAGGCTAATGAAACTGGGAGCTAATAGACCTCAGTTAGCCGCTACAAATTCCAAGGATTGATCACCAAAACTGGAGAAGCTGCTGGTTGAAGAAGGAAAAACTCGGATCTGGTTTTTTTTTTTTTTTTTCGGTTGATCGTCGTGTACTGTAAGTGTGCGTGAGGGCGCGTCCGACGTTGGATCGACAAACGGTTTTCACCAGTAGATTCGACTCGTCGAGGGCTTCGATTTGATATGTAGATCGTCTTCTGGTTCCTCACGGTTTGGAAGATATGCGTCTTTTAAGTTTCGACTTGCTTTTAGGGTTTTGGTGGTGGCCGGATTTATTAGGGTTTTTCGCTCAGAGAGTCTTATCGTGCTGATAACGTGTTGTGAAAACTTAGAAACTTTATTAATCACTGGAATGTATATATAGAGTACATAGGGAATCTAGGTTAAGTACAATGCTCTGATGCGCCTAATGGGCCGGTATAAAAGTCCATATATGATATGTGTTATAACAATTAAAGGATAAATAGAAGATATCTCAAGTCAAAGCAAGATCCGTGATATACATACACTTCAAAAGCTGATATATATATATATATATATATATATATACCCTTTGTTTTTGGGCTCAAACCAAAACGGCAAAGGTTCCAATCATGGCCAAGTGCCAACAAAAGATGACTCTTCTTCTTCTTGAAAAGTTTCTATGGACTAGAACATAACAAAGACTAACATTATAATCGAAAAAAAAAACCATAGCAAAGACTTTTTATCCAAAAGAAAAAAGAACATAACAAGACTTTATCTAGTGAAAATTATGAAAGCTATATATGTAAATGAGAAAGATCTCACTGGGAGGAATAATAGATGAAAATGGTCAACTCATGCACAGAAGTTTAAGAATGAATAAATGATATATTGGACGGAAAAGTGCATAATAAGAAGTCAACTCAGGTAAGAAAACTACAGATTGAATAAATTGCATTAATTTCACTGACAGATTCCAACCAAACGGGTATTTCATCTAATAGTCTATGTTCACTAGATTATGACATGCCTTCTGCGTCAATGTGTGTCAATCTCCTTGGTCTCTAAACCCTTGAGCCAAAATAGAAAGAAAAGAACGATCCTTGATTATTGCATAAATTAAACGAATACAGAAAACACTCGAAAGGCAGAAGGATATAACAAGGTTTGTTTTTGGTTTGGACCTTGTCCAATAAGGGGATTCATTACATATATAAAAAGCATTACATTTTTTTTGGTCAAAGTCAAAAGCATTACGTATTATACTCGTGAATCACATAACCGTAAGTTCAAATTTTCAGGATCAAGCTAACCAAAGATATTCCCAGTCAATGAACTCCACCAATGCTTCACTTTAATCTTGCAGCTCCGGGGAACTTGATTCACATTTTTTATCAGTTTCTATAAACTATTTTTCATTTTTTTTATTTGGTTCGAAATAAGAAACGATTTAGACTTTGTCTCCCAGTTTGTTTCTGTTCAAGAAAAACAAAATATCAGAAGAAGTACGTAAACAAGAGCGCTCTTAACCTATAAAAAAAAAGATAAAGAGACAGTGATTTTGATTTGATGATTGCTTCTTACAAACTCTCGTGGTATGGGGAATATAGCATCTATAACTTCACACTAAACATGGAAAATTGCAAAAAACAATTTCAAGGTATTGGGTTTTAACTTAAAACAATCGAAAGAAAATGTATTAGAAAAATATTCCAAGTTATTGAAATATTCCAACGAGTTTTGTACTAATACTTGACAGAATTCACATCACTTATATAAAATTTTTTTTTTGGATCTTTATGATACATTTCTAACAAAATTAACTTTAGACGGAATCTTGAAAGATTTTCGTTGTAAAATTTCTAACGTCGGAATTTTTTCCTACAAAATTTTATGTTTTCTTGTATGAATGATTATCGCAAGTCAACCAAATATATGATATATCTAGTTGCTATTAAATATCTAGTTGCACTCAATGACCACCAAATAAACTATAATTCACAAACTAATAAAAAAAAAATTTGAACATGATATTCTCTGTATATTCTATATTAATACCCTTTTTCTTTTTTTTCTTATATTTTCTTTTTTTCCCTCTTTTTCTCTCTTACCATCTTCTCTCTTGATTCTCTTTCTCTCCTTCCACGATATTCTCCAAATGTCTCCTTTGATAATCCCCAACTCATTCACGACCTCTTCTGGAATCTTTGTTATGCAATTGGTTTACTTAAATTGTTGAACTTTAAAATATGGATCTAGAAATTGAATTGAATTAAATTGTAGATGGATCTAAGACTTAGATCAGAAGTGTTAGCTCTTCAGGAAAAAGCTGAAAAATATTTTGTATAAAAATTCAATTTCAATTGATTATCAGAAGTCATGTCATGCTCCACCTTCTTCACCATTGCTACACTCTGTTGTTGTTGATAACATGCTCTTGCGATCTTCTTCTCCGCCGCAGCCTCTCTCTCCAACTCAATACCACCGGTCCACTACAGTCTCTCTCGTGCATGAATTCTCACCAGAAATTAACCAATGGGAGCCTCCTGCCCACATCAAGGTTCATATCAACGAATACCTAGATTTGTATATAATGGCTATTAGTATAGAACGTCTATTTGTATAGAATGTTTATTTTTTGTTTTCAGATACAAATTTATAACAGAAGAGCTTTTTGTCATTGTGGTTTTGATGTTTTGCTTTCGTTGTTAACAGACATGCAAAACTTAGGATTCTTAAAGCAAAAAAGTATAAAATAGTACTAGAAAAAATAGATGTGCTGTGTTATTAATAGATTAGCTATGTATCTGGTTTTTAAAAAATAGACATACTATGTTATATAACAAAAATAGACTTTTTATTTTATTTGTACCATTATTGACGTATGAAAAAATTTTGGATGCATTTTCAAAATTCAAATCATATTAGATGTGAAAAAATATCAGTGTTTTTCTCTTATCCTAATACAAGCTTCAACTAATTAATAATTTCTGAATAATGTAAAAAACAAAATTTATGAGATAGCTATATGTGCACTAAATAGAAACTGAATAAAAAGTACAGTCTAATTAGGTTTTTTCTTTTGCAGAAGGGATAAAAGCTCGTGTGGTTGGTGGGAAGGATTTTTTCGTCAACTTTGTTGATAAAAAACCAAAAACCTAAATACTCACTTATCATAGTTATATTCTTAATAACTTTTGTATTTTTGGTTATACACTTAATTCACCCTATATAAAAAGCATTACATTTTTTTTGGTCAAAGTCAAAAGCATTACGTATTATACTCGTGAATCACATAACCGTAAGTTCAAATTTTCAGGATCAAGCTAACCAAAGATATTCCCAGTCAATGAACTCTACCAATGCTTCACTTTAATCTTGCAGCTCCGGGGAACTTGATTCAGTTTTTTTTTATCAGTTTCTATAAACTATTTTTCATTTTTTTTATTTGGTTCAAAATAATAAACGATTTAGACTTCGTCTCCCAGTTTGTTTCTGTTCAAGAAAAACAAAATATCAGAAGAAGTACGTAAACAAGAGTGCTCTTAACCTATAAAAAAAAAGATAAAGAGACAATTGTTTTGATTTGATGATTGCTTCTTACAAACTCACGTGGTGTGGGGAATATAGCATCTATAACTTCACACTAAACATGGAAAATTGCAAAAAACAATTTCAAGGTATTGGGTTTTAACTTAAAACAATCGAAAGAAAATGTATTAGAAAAAAATTCCAAGTTATTGAAATATTCCAACGAGTTTTGTACTAATACTTGACAGAATTCACATCACTATATAAATTTTTTTTTTGATTTTTATGATATGTTTTTAACAAAATTAACTTTAGACGGAATCTTGAAAGATTTTTGTTGTAAAATTTCCAACGTCGGAAATTTTCCCTACAAAATTTTATGTTTTCTTGTATGAACGATTATCGCAAAAGTCAACCAAATATATGATATATCTAGTTGCTATTAAATAGAAGTCATGTACTGTTATATATGGAGCTTTGACATTAGATCAACTTGGTAGGTTTTACATTGTTTAAACAACAAGATAACATCAGGTGCTTTGATTTAATATTCACCTTGTTCACAAATTGTAATATTAATGTATATGTTTTTTTGTTAGACCAGTTGAGACGTGCTGGAACGAGGAAGATGTAATTTAGAAAAAAAAAATTCAACTATCTTTTTTCCTTTTGGAAAATCAATATATTCTCGCATATAATTCATACAATCTCTCGTATCAAAATTCTGTATGATAACTTAAAAATGGAATGTCATCGCAAACTGTTACTGGCGTTGAGCTTCGGGGCTTTTGCCCTTATACATCTTGTTCGAGCTCAACGTGATCAAGAAGGTAGTTTTCTGACGCTTGTTAATATATTTTGAAGTGTTTCATGTTCAATTTTTCACACATAAATATGATAATCAACCATGTTGTAAAAACTGAAGATTATCTATCTCTTCTTTCAATATTTTCTAATTGTTCTCCTTAAGCTTTATATTTTACTAAAAAGAAGAAAACGTTATTTGCACTAAAACTTTGTGTTTGGCCAGGATTCATCAGTTTGGACTGTGGTTTATCCCCTAATGAGTCTCCGTATACCGACTCAGAAACGGGATTAACATTCTCATCTGATGCCGATTTCATCCAAAGTGGTAAACGCGGTGAAGCTGAGGATGATGAGAACTATTCCTACAAGCAGTTCAAGAATCTTAGATACTTTCCAGATGGCATACGAAACTGCTATAATCTCATTGTAAAGCAGGGAATCAACTATCTCATTAGAGCCGGGTTCTCATATGGAAACTATGACGGTCTTAATGTGTCTCCCAAATTTCATATGCACATAGGGCCTAACATGTGGACTGCGGTGGTTGTGAGAACCGAACATTATCGAGAGGTCATATACATGTCAAAGTCAAGCTTATTGCAAATTTGTCTTGTCAAGACAGGAGAAACTATACCAGTGATATCAACCTTGGAACTACGACCATTAAGAAATGATTCATACATGACTGAACTCGGTCCCTTGCAGCTAATATATCGACGGGCCTATACAAGCGATACTTCCGGTTATATAAGGTACGTAAAGTCAGCTTGAGCAACTCTTGTATCTATTTTTCAAAACCTCTTATGAAACATATTTATTTATTAAATATCATATTAAATGCGCACCTTTGTAAATTGAATTAGTTAAAACTTGCAATCCCATTGTTATTTTTATGTTTTCAAACAAAATATTGACTAAATGAGCCACATATTTTTTAGGAAACAAGATTCATTTTTTTGCATGACTAATCGAAAGTCTTTTTTTTTTTTCAGGTATCCTGATGATGTCCTTGATCGCATATGGGATCGATATAACTGGTTTGAAACAGACGTAAACACCACTCGCAATGTGACTTCCTCTAACCCTTTTGCAGTGCCAGATGCTGTAAGTAGGTCGGCCATTTCTCCTAGAAATTCCAGCAGACCATTGAGTTTTTTCTTGTCTCCAGACGAGAAAAGCGAAAAAGTTAGTGTATACTTTCATTTTGCCGAGATCCAAGCCCTAAATGCAAATGAGACTAGGGAATTCGACATTTTGTTGGATGGAATAGCTATCCACAGCGCTTATAGTCCTAAGGTGTTACAGTCAGAAACAAAATACAACATATCACCACAAAAATGCAGCTTAAGCTCCTGCGACTTGGACCTCGTAAGAACTCAAAGATCAACTCTTCCACCATTGATAAATGCTATCGAGGCCTTCAAGGTTTTAGAGTTTTTATACGCTGACACAAATCAAAATGATGGTATGTAACTATTATTCCTGTAAATATAGCATAACTAGGAATCACACTACTAGCAATTATGCGCATAGTCACGGATTAGTAATAGAAAATTAGTCACGGAAAAAATATTTTAGCTTTGTGGCTAATTTTTATCTGTCAGTATTTTGACTTTTTCGTGGCCTATGATATAGCGTATGCTGATTCTTGACTTCCTCCTTGGCCTCTATGTCAGTCAATGCTATGAAGAATATCCAAGCAGTTTATGGATTAAACATGATAAGTTGGCAGGGAGATCCGTGCGTCCCTGAAGTGTTGAAATGGGAAGGTCTAAAGTGCAGCTATACAAACAAATCTACCCCTCCAAGAATTATATCCTTGTAAGATCACTGTCCCATTTATACTTCCTCATGTTATAAGTTATATATAACTCATATCTCTCAAATATCTGATACTTTGAATACGTTCTGATAATATAAACAGATATTTATCATCACGTGGGTTAAAAGGGGTCATCACGCCTGCCTTTCAGAATTTGACCGAGCTTCAAAATCTGTAAATGCCTACTGCTTTTTTGTTAAAAAAGTTATCATCTGCTACATCATCATTCATCATAGCTATTAGGAAAATTAGAAATTTTACAACGATATAAATAACGATTTACCGTTCTAGTCATGGAAAACCTATACCCGAAATACTGAAAAACATATTGCTTCCTTTTTGTTAGCTTTCTCTTAATTTGCTTTCCAATATTTGCGTTTAAAAAAAAAAGGACAGAACCAAAAAAAAAAAGAAAAAAAACTATATATTTTGCATATCAAAGACAAAACTATATTGTTCAAAAAAAAAAAGACAAAACTATTTCGTTCAAAAAAAAACGAAAAAAATATTATACTATTGTTTTATTATAAATTTTAACACAAGGCATGAGAAAACAGTTATACTAATATATTATGGCCATGATTCTTCATATAATTTAAAGTCGTGTTTTATGTGACCACCATGTCATTGGTTTTTTTATCTTTATATATAACAATTTGGAAGAAAAAAAATGTATTTTTTCTCTATCCTACGAACGAAAGAATTACTATTTACATTTTTCATACGCTAGGGACTTATCAAATAACAGTCTCACTGGAGGCGTGCCGGAATTTGTAGCCAACATGAAGTCACTATCGATCATGTAAGTTGATGTAAACAAAGATTTATTTATTCTAGATTCGGATATTCTCAATGTAATGTTTTCTATACCTTGACAGAAATTTAAATTGGAACAATTTAACGGGTCCTCTTCCTAAGGCCATTCAGGATAGAGAAAAGAATGGACTAAAGCTAACGTAAGATTTTGCATTTCTCTTTTTGTTTTCATCAGTTCTCCACCGGTTTTGTTAGTTTCCTATCTTATTCAAGAACATTATATGGTATTAAGGATCAACGGAAACCCAAAGCTTTGTGCTGATGCGTCATGCAAAAATAACAATCAAAAGTACGTTTTACCAGTTGTTGCATCGACAGCATCTGTGCTCATCATTGTAGCTGTGATGATTCTCATTCTTGTTTTCAAAAAGAAAAAACCAACGCAAGGTACATAGTTAAAGATGGGATATATCCTTATATGTATATTTTAACGTGCATGGTGTTATATATACTAATGGAGATCAAATCTCCTATATATTTTCTGGTTGTTCACACACACGATTCTTTCTCTACAGTTCAACACGAAGTACCAAGTCGAACGTCGATAATTACGCAGACAAAAAGGTTTACTTATTCAGAGGTGGTTGCATTAACAGACAATTTTGAAAGAGTTCTTGGAGAAGGAGGATTTGGAGTAGTGTATCATGGTTCTTTGAATGGTACGCAACCAATAGCTGTCAAACTACTTTCTCAATCATCAGTACAGGGCTATAAGGAATTCAAAGCAGAGGTACGTTAAGGTTAATTCATTATCCATATGCTGTAATAGTGTAATCAATATACCTTCATAAAAATATAGATTGTACTGGCCCAAAAATATGTGTTGACATGGCTGGTCAGGTTGAACTTCTTTTGAGAGTTCACCACGTAAATTTGGTAAGTCTAGTCGGATATTGTGACGAAGAAGGCCACTTGGCTCTCCTTTATGAGTATGCACCCAATGGAGATTTAAAACAGCATCTCTCAGGTATAAATTTGACTACACAACATTTTAAAATGAAAGATTTACTTTCTATATTTCGATTCTTCATGTCTTTACTATATCACTCACATGTTCCGAAATATAGGAGAACGTGGTGGCTCCCCTTTGAAGTGGTCAAGTAGATTAAAAATTGTCACTGAGACTGCACAAGGTTCCATCTAAATTCAACATCCATCAATCATATTACATTAATTGTATGACATGAACGATATAATTATATATAGGTTTGGAATACTTGCATACGGGATGCAAGCCTCCAATGATACATCGTGATGTCAAAACAACAAATATACTTTTGGACGAGCATTTCCAAGCCAAACTCGCAGATTTTGGTCTTTCAAGATCTTTCCCAAACGGAGGTGAAACTCATGTGTCAACAGCCGTTGCTGGCACTCCTGGATATCTTGATCCTGAGTAAGTGCTACATCATCACACTAATTTTGCGCAACCTTGTTTTTATTCTTCATTTGACGTCAAGAAACTTCATGTCTTGCCTTGCAGATACTATCGAACAAATAGGTTGAATGAGAAAAGTGATGTATATAGTTTTGGGATTGTATTATTGGAGACTATCACTAGTCAACCTGTGATTCAACAAACCCGTGAAAGATCACACATAGCATCATGGGTGGGATACATGCTTACAAAGGGAGATATTGAAAACGTTGTGGATCCAAGACTCAGTAGAGACTATTATGAGCCTACGTCTCTCTGGAAGGCTCTTGAGATAGCAATGTCATGCGTGAATCCTTCTTCAGAGAAAAGACCAAACATGTCTCAAGTTACTAATGAACTAAAGCACTGTCTAACATTAGCCAACTCAAGGCAAGGAGTGAGACAGCAAATGAGTTCAAACAGTTCTGTTGAGCTGAGCGTGAGCTTTACCTCCGAAGTTACCCCTAACGCACGGTAACTCATGCCAACAATGGCAGATCGCTAAGGACTGCAAAGTTCCTGTAACACCAAAATAAAAAAAAACATAAAATTTAAAGGTTTCGAAGTTTCCTTGATTTATTTTCGTGAATATTATCTTTGGTCGTTTATCGATACTAGTACTACGTTGTTTTTACCTTTGCTTGTCCTCGTATATGATTTTATAGCTATGAGTTGTTGGGCTTTTCTAGCTCATGTTCAACTCTTTATTAATTAATATGATATTATTTACTTTAGGTTCAAGTGATAAAGTTTACACGGATTTTTTTGGGTTTTTTTTTAAAAGATCTCGTACTAATTACTTTTAGACCTTATTTATATATTAGATACTCTTTGTCTAAACTTTCAATGTGGGATTTGGATTGATATCCCAACAATCTTTCTTTCAAACCAAAGACCACATAAACCCGTGGCATCCTAACCTCCTGCGAAACCTGGCATCTATCTTGTACCACCTTACTCACCTAGGAACTCGCCCCCTGATTTTCTGCATCGTCAAGAAGACTTTCGACACAAGGCACTGGCACCCCTAATCGCAAGATCACCTTAAGGGTTCTCTCTTCCACACCGAAGACATAGCCCACACGCCACATCCACTTGTCTAGGTCCACATTTTTCAAAACCTAGTTTTGATACCAATTGTTGGGTTTTTCAAGTCCATATCCAACTTCTTATTAGTATGATATTGTCCGCTTTGGATCTCAGTGGCAAAGCCAGCACGAATTTTTTTTTTGGCTCTTTCTCAAAAAGCCTCATACTAATTACTTTTAGACATGACTTATATACTAGACCATCTTGGTCTAAACTTTCCGGTCTAAACTTCCGATGTGGGACTTGGATTGATATCCCAACAATCCTGCCCTCAAACCAAGAACCACACAAACTTGTGGCCTCCCAACCCCCTACAAAACCTGGCACATATCTTGTACCGCCATACACACCAGTAGAACTCTTCACATAACCCTTGCGCAACCGTTAGGAAAACTTTCGACACAAGTCACCAGCACCTCTTTATCGCTAGGTCACCTTGAGAGCTCTAGCCTCCCACACCGAACACACAGCCCACACCCACTTGTCCTGATCCACCTTTTCTAGATCCTCACTTTGATACTAATTGTTGGGCTTTTTAAACCCATGTCCAACTTGAATTTGGTTTTGGGTGTTGAGTTTTGGAATTAAGTTTCCAAAATGGACAAATGCTAGTGATCATACTCTCTTCAAAACATCATATAGAAAGGGTTTTAAACAAGATTATTGAAGATTTGACATTCTCATAGTATTGAACAAGATTATTGATCATACTTAATATGTGAATGCTAGACAGACACTTCTTACAAAGAAAGCTAGTTTCATTTACATGTAATTAGTGATTACTTGATCCAGCAAAGATCTTTTCTATTGATGTATTTTTTCTCATATTTTAAAATTTTACAAAGAAAACTTTAACAAGCTATATTTTTAACTTATAACTCGCCTTATGGACCATTGCATCGTAACCTTTATTGAGTTTAACTTCAAAGTAACGAGTACCTAAAAGGCTAAAACAGGTGCCTTTTATTATTAGCAGGATCTATCAATGCTACATATACCGGAGAGATGAAAAAGAAAAAAAACAAAGAACACGCAGATCAAAGAGAAAATGTTAGACCTGATTTTCATTTATTGCCATAACGCATAGGTAATTTTTTCTTAATAAAATGTTCGAAATGGAAAATAAACCCCATTATTGAGGAAAGCTGACATCATATCTGCCTCTTGTTTCACCTAGTCAAAAACAGGTTTCAAAAACTAAGACTAGCTCCATCGCCTAAGAGCATTTCCAATGGTTTTTCATTTTTTACTTTTTCCTTCATTTTGAAGATAAAAATGAAGAAATGTTCTCCAATGATGCTTCAAATTCATCTTCAAAATGAAGAAATGAACAGTGTTCCTTCAAATTTGAAGGAATACTGTTCATTTCTTCATTTTTTGAATGTGAACTTTTTTTTTTACAAAATGTATAATTAACTTTCTACATGCTTTGTTTATGCCCAAACAAAATTTATATGTTTTTTTATCCAATTAATTTTAAAACTGTTAATTTTTTAATTAAATTATAAAGTAAAAATACAGTAAACACAATAAAAATATACAATAACATATATTATATAGAAAATACAAGAACATAGCTCACAACAAAATTAAAAATACATAATTAATACTGAATTATAAATAATAAATTCAACATAACATAAACTAACAACTTAATAATTTAGAAAATCACTTCCAAGTCCATTAAGATTATTAAAATACTGTCCAAATGAAGTTGATGCTGAAGGAGGAGTTTGCTGGTTTGTTCTTATATATTTACATTATGTATTATAATTTTCTTTATATAATAAAAATTTTTAATTATATAAAATTTCTAAATTTGGTTGAATAATTATTCTACATAAATAAATAGGTGAAAATTCGTAAAACTAAAAAGTATAGGACTTTGTTAGCAATTAATAAAAAAATAGAGATAAAATATGCTTGGAATATTCTTTTTGAAGAAAAAAATGAAGAAAGTTTTCTCCAATAGTTTCTTTATTTTTTTCTTAAAAAATGAAGAAACTTTATTTTTGAAGGAAAAAATGAAAAAACCATTGAAGATGCTCTTAGGGTTCTAAGAGAAAAAAAGTGTGTTAAAATTAAATGAAAAATGCTTTATTGTAGGATCGATGTGAGAGTCTTTTAAACAGCTGGTGGTGTTTAATTGGTTGAGGGAGGAAGCTTAAAATTTGGATCAAAAACAAATAGCCTCCACTTGAGCCAAAATGTAGTGTCTGGGCTGGAAAAACTCAAAAGCCCGATGGAAAAATTGTCAAACTCGAAAGAAAATTGCAGAAGGCTTTTGGAAGAAAAAGAAAAAATCAGAGTCGAAGAGAGACTTGTCAAAATGGGTTTATATTTAATTAAATTTTAATGGATTAAAAATCGGACTTGTAAAAATAAGCTCTTACCAATTTGGGCTTGTCAAAATGGATATATAATAATTAGCTCATTACGATGTTAAGAATCCTTCAGGGTATTAGGGTTGGATATGCAAAACTAAAAGGAGATCTTAACTTTTTAAATTCTCAAATTTACTATTAAAAAATATATAAGAGACTTTCATAAATCTTAGACCATCTTCATTGCAGTCTCTAGAGAGTCTCTTGCTCATAGTTTACATTAGATAGAACTGAATCCAGTCCAAACTGTTTAGAAACGTTTTTTATTTCAGAACAATAAGAGACTGTCTCTTGTGCTATGTGTATCCGCATAAATAAACAAACATTTTTATATTATTATTATATTTTAAAAAAAACCCAAATAAAATTATACCATTGAATGGATAAAAATAAATGTTTCTTATCAAAATCTCTTAATCCAAAATAATAATAAATAATTGCTTAAGAGATCCAAATAGATCTCTGGTATAATCATGCTTTTAGGGATGAAAATGTTTTAACATGCAAGACTGCCTTTAGTGTCTGTATATGTCCTATTATTCCAATTCACATAAAATAACTGTAAAATATATATAGAAAAAAGGCGAATGCTACAGAAAAGCATATAGTTCAAATTAACTTTTTGTAGATCAGAGAAGCTGTAACAGTTAATGATCACTTTCTGGGTCTATCTTGTAGTTCCTTAAGAACTTATAAGCTTAGAACACAAGATTAAAGAATTAGCTCTCTTTATTATTGCTTAGAAAAATTCCTCAAAACCTAAACAACTTCTAGGGTTCTCTTATGTTTGTCACAAGCTCAACAAAACATATATATATATAGGTATAGATTTCCTTTTCTATTCCTAATTCTAATTGGCCTATCTTATTCTTAATTCTAACTCAATTAGGATATCTTGGGCCTTAAGCTATTGAAGCTTATCCAACATTCACCCCTCTAAGCTTCAAGTTATCTTCAGAAAGATCTTGAACTCCTATCAAGTCTCTCATCTTCTTAAACTTTAGTCTTGCGAGGGCTTTTGTTAAAACATCCGCGCATTGCTCTTCACCTGGTACATGCTCGACTCCGATTTGATCTTCTTCGACGCATTCACAGATGAAATGATATCGCTTGTGGATGTGCTTGCTCCGGCCATGGAAGACTGGATTTTTGGTAAGTGAAATGGCGGATTTGTTGTCAATACGAATGATAATCTTTTGAACCTTCCAACCCGTGATTTCACTTAACAAATCTTGGAGCCAAATCGCTTGTTTGGCAGCTTCCGTGGCAGCCATGAACTCGGCTTTGCAGGAAGACAGAGCAACTCTTTCCTGCTTCTGTGAACACCAACTGATTGGTGAATCACCAAAGTAAAAGACGTGTCCGGTCGTACTCTTTCCATCGTCAGGATCTACGTTATGACTGCTGTCACTATAGCCAATAATCCTCTTAGATCCTCCTCTTTTGAACTTCAGACCGAACGACAATGTTCCTTGGAGGTACCTTAGTACTTGTTTCAGTACTTGACCATGTGACTCCTTAGGAACTTGCATGTACCTACTTAATACCCCAACAGCAAAAGAGAGATCATGCCTTGTGTGCAAAAGATACCTTAGGCAACCGATCCTTCTTCGATACAAGGTAGCATCGATTTCAGGTTCTCCTTCTTGACCTTTGGACATGTTCAATCCAAACTCCATTGGTATATGAGTAGGATTGCACGTATCTAGGCCAGCTTCCTTCAATATTCGGCGCGCATATGCCTCTTGCTTGATCTCAATTCCTTTGTCACTTTGCTTGACTTCTATGCCGAGGTAGTAAGTAAGTCTACCTAGATCTGACATCTCGAATTTCGTCGACATCCCCTGTTTAAACTCCTTGATGATTTCAAGTGTATTTCCTGTTACAAAGAGATCATCAACATAGATGGCAACTATTAGAAGATTTGCTCCTTCTTCCTTGCGATACACAGAACTCTCTCTTGAACATTTTTTAAACTTCATGCTTTTTAAAATCTGATCAAGCTTAGTGTTCCATGCTCTTGGTGCTTGTCTTAAAC